ACACACACACACACACACACACACACACACACACACACACACTTGCTGTAAGAGTAATATATACATGACACAGCAGCTACATGGGTGTTCAGGCGAAGGATGCATGACCAAGAAGCCCTCTGCTCCCTGCCTAACGGGAAAGCCCCCAGAAAGGACCAGCAGCAGCAAGTCTACAGCCCAAACGTGAACGGCATCGCCCCTGAAAAGAAGCAGGTAGCTGGACCACCCTCCAAGAGACACTTGAGCTAAAACTCAGGGGAAGGGTGCAGTGACGGTACATTCTACTGCATATGCTTGAAATGGTACAGTGTTTTCCTCCAGACTACTATAAATAATTTTTCGTGCTTTCTGAAAAAAAGATTGGTGAGGGCATATAGTGAAATCATATCATAAAGCAGAGCATAATTTACCCTCTGCGGGAGTTCGGTGGAGCGAGAATACTTATCCTTTGGCCAACAGAAAGCAAATCTCTCAGAGCTCCATGGCAGGGACTGTAGGAAGCCCAGGTGAATGCTCTGCTGGTAAAAGCTGCCTATCCTGCCCAGGTGAGAGAGCCCCTGAAATGGGTGGGCACGATGGATGCCTACTGTCTAACTGAGCCAGGAACGGTTCCATTGATGGGGATTCAGATCACCATAGACACTCCTGAGCCGAGCGATCCTATCCTCCAGGTTGGCAAATACTTTTAGAAACCGAAATGGCTTTACCCCTGTGACTTCTTTCCAATGCAAAGCTGTAACTTACTCACAACACAAATTATAAACATATAGACCATATATACAGATTTTTTTTAACAACCACAAATAAAAAACACTCTACAAAACAAAACAAAACAAAAAAAAAACAAAGACAGTGAGTCGAAGCCTTTTCATTGTCGGAGTCATGCCTCTGGGCTTGCCTTGGAGCCCTGCCCCTCGCTCAGTCCTGCCCCTGCTCTCCCGGTCCTGGCGGTCCCTACTCATCCTCCGCGGTAGCTGTCAGAATCCCCTTGTCCGTCAGGTGAGACTTGAGCGTGTTGAAGATGTGGAGCTGCTGATCTGGCCGCAAGGTCAGGAACTGCTGGATCAGTTTACTCGGGTTAGGGCCCCTGGAACAGGATGAAGAAACAGTGCTGAGTGAGCTGGGATCCAGCCGTTTCTACGACCTGATTATTCAAGTGGCTGCTCTGATCTCTGGATGAGAGGGATGTCAGAGAATCCATACAGAGTGACAAATAAAAACATCATTCTCATTTAAGAATGTAGATAAAGCTACAATTCTAGAACTGCACAATGCTTTAAAAACCCACCCACTGGGCTCAGATGGAAGGGCACTCTACCTGATAAAGCTGGCGATGTATACGTTGACAAAGGTGGCCATCAGATACTGGCAGTCAAAGCGATCCATGATGCCTCCGTGGCCAGGAATGGTATTGGCAAAGTCCTATCAGAGGCGAAGGAAGGAGGGGGGAGCCTGGACTCAGCCAATAACCAAACCCCAGCCCAATGGTCCCACCCAGTGTCCAGCTACTGTCCTGGCTGGATGAGGGCAAAACACTGAGAAGTATTGAATTGAATACTGAGGCTATACTAGGAAATGCTATTACTCAATTATAAAATATTCTTTCGAAGATATGATATAGCACTTCAAAAACTGAAATTCAATGATCAAATTTTCTTAGAAACAATGTATTGAGTCATTGGGAAAGTCAGGATGCATTTTTGCATAGAAAAATATGTCATAAGTTTCCCAATGACCCAGTATTTCATTTAGCCTGCCTAAATCTGGGGCATGGTCAAGAGCAGCAATTAATCATCAGGGTGTCTAGCCTGGTACTTTAAAGAGGGTCATGGCTGATGGGGCCTGATGGGAAGAAAGACAGTGGATGGGTGAGGTGGGAGTGAGATGAGAGGAACACAGAAAGGAGTTTTCCTACTTTGATTTTAAAGGCTCGTTTAAATCCACTTGCGAAGAATCCTCCAAAGGGGCCGATGAGCGAGGCGAAGGTGGAGAGGGCGATGCTGTGGATCTGGAAGGGGTACATCCGGACCGTTTTCTGAGGAGCATAAATGGAGCAAAGGTCAAGGAGTGCACAAGTGCAGCCTGACTACACATTACCTGAAGCACTTTTGAAACGAATTTCATGTATTTTTAAATCAGGAAGAACAGTGAACTTTTTTCCATTTTTATACATCTCTAGCGTCTGATTTAATGGAAGACATTACGATAATCTGCATCTAATCTGTTGCAATGTGTTGTTTTGGTGGGACTATGTGATGAAATCCAGCCTTACACAGACATGCAGTTGAAAAAAAGAAAACTATTTCAGCAGCCTTCTCAGATCATGGCAAGTATTCTTGGACACTATACCAGAATGTGACAAGTGGTTGTTTCTTCAACATTAGGTAGTAACATGAAACTGGAAATCCTACTGAGAAACTTCATTTTTTAATTTTTGCCATAAGACACATGCGCTTGCCAGACAGAGGGGAAGTAAGAAATTACCTCCCCCACCTACAGAGCCAAAATAGCTGTCAAGAGAGCGTAAGCCTGAAGAAATTACCTCCCCCAGGGGATATGTCCACACCACAATCCCTTTGTGTCCATTTTCCTCTCAGGATTCCGAGAACACACGCATACATGCCCAGTGTGTTTTTCAAGTCACCCAATCTGGGACTCAAACTGCAGAGTCGGCCATGTGGGATCCAGTACCTTAAAAGTCATGCCATCTCCTGGTACCTTGATGAACTTTTTGTACCCTCATTAAAATCCACTGGTCTAGGGCCAGCAGGTGGCAAGATGGTTAAGGTGCTGGATCCCACAGGGCCGACTCCATTTGAGTCCTGGAGCCAGTATCCCAAAAACACACTGAGCACGTGTGTATGCATGCCCAGAATCTCTAGAGGAGAATGGAGAAGGGACTGTGATATGGCCATATCTCTGGAGGGTGATTACTCACCTTTTTTCTTTCTCGCTGTCTCTCTGGTAAGTATATATGCCCTGTGGGGGGTAATTCATTGGACTACACCCTGTATTTTTTTAAGTTGTATTTTTCTTTTTTTTCTTAATTAAAGAATTATTTCATTTAACTTTTATTTATTTATTTATTTGTTTGTTTGTTTATTTCAATTTGACCAGAGAGGGACAGAGAGAGAAAGAGAGAGAGAGAAAGTGAGAAAGCAACCCGCCAGGTCCAGGACTCGAACTGCAATTGGTCATGTGGGAATCCAGCACCTTTAACCACCATGCCACCTACTGGTCACTTAAGTTGTATCTTTCTATTCCATGAGTAAGAAAGAAACAGAGATAGAGAAACACAGAAAAAGCAGCCTTGGTAGAGTCCTGACACTATGATCCACCTCTGGCCCCAGATCATGAGCCTCCGGCTCAGGGCAGTCTCCAGACACAAAGCAGCAACCCTCCCACGTGGGTCTGCACTGCTGCCTTGCAGAGTGTGGCGTCTCACCTCTGTGCCACCATTCCTGACCTTGCAGTCTATCTTGCACTTTGCATGGACTTCTTTACCTCTACACCATGCACTGGCCATTTAGAAATACTGGTTCACTGAGTTATGCAAGTTCCCAAATGTAGACACGTTTCATTATACAATGTCAAAATATCATGTTAACAGCACCACAGACCTCACTGGAAGACCCTTTAAGTATGAGGAAACTGTCAAGCTCACAGCGCTTTCCAAAACTCTAATTTGAACTTGAAAGCCAATTTTTATCATTGGTAACAATTACTGTCAGTCGTTTTCCTCGAAGTGACAGGCTTGCTTCATTTTTGTTTAATGGTTTTATTTATATTTTATTCATGATAGTTTATGAATGCACTCTCAAAAGAAAAAGAGAGAGGAGGAGGGGCGTAGGGAGGGAGAAGCACTATCGGCAGGGTCTGGTCATGCCCTTCCTTCAGCCCATCGGGACCTCAGGCATGTGTGAGCGCATCTGGTACATTTCAGGTTAACGGGGCCAAGTGTGCAAACCCATGGTCAGCCGTGTGGCTTCCAGCACTGCAGTCCAGTATGCTACTGACTGCAACACAGGGCAGGGCCTCACCTCATCATTTTCAATAAAACTGTCTGCCCGATACTCAAGTGTGAAAAACTCTAATTTGGGAGTTCTTTTTGAGTAAAAAATATGTTTCTAGAAAAAAAAAAAAGCAGCTAAGAAAAAGGGAGGGGGAAGACCAGCAGTTGGCGTAATGGCTATGTCACTAGACTCCCATGTAGTCAACCGCAGTTCGAGTCTCGGACCCAGTGACTTAAACTAACGTTGGGCGCGCGCGTGTGTGTGTCTAAGATCCCAAGAGAAGAATGGAGAAGGAATTGCGACATGGCCATCCCCCCGCGGGGTGATTTCTCGCTTTCTGTCTCTCTGTCTCTCTCTGTCTTTTTAGCAAGTGCATGTGCCCTATAGCAAAAATTTCTCCAAAAAAAAAGCAGCTAGTTCAACTCACAACAAAAACAACAACTACACACATGCTTTTCCTTTAGGAAACACTACATCAGTATTTAACAGAAACGTTCTACACATACGTCCCATTTTTGCCCAGAGTATTAAAAAAGGTGTGTGTGTAGGGGCCGGCAGACGGTGTGGTGATTAAGGCGCTGGATCCCAAATGGGGGACTGCAGTTAGAATCTCGGACCAGGTGGCCTGAGAAACACACTGGGAGCATACGCATGAGTGCCCAAAGTCCTAAGAGGAGGAAAAAGGAGAAGAGACTGCAGCATGGCCACTCTCCTGGGGGAATGATCTCTAATTTTCCCTCTTTCTGTTTCTGTCTCTCTCCAGAGAGTATATGTGTTCCATGGTAAAAATCTTCAAAAATAAAATAAAATTTAAAAAGGTTGTGCATGCAAAAAGTCAAGATTAATATAATTACTAATTTTACTATTTCAAAGACATTCAAAGACCGGTCCCATAGCTCAGTGGTTAAGGGAGTGGGAGCCTACGTGGCTAACAGTGGTTCGCAACCTGGACTTAGGAGCATAATAAACATGCTAAGCACATGTGTACACATGCCCCAAATCCCCGACAGGATAGGAAAATGAAGGAGAAGGGATTGCAGCATGACTGTGCCCTGTTGGACAATGCTTTCTTTCTCTTTCTCAAGTGACTGCATGTGCTCACCGGGGAAAAAAAAAAAATTCCTAAGAGCAACTGGCATATTTGTACAGCAAGTGTGTGGCCTGAAGGACCCACAGCCTACTGATGGAGGCGGTGCCACTACCTGGACTCATACGAAGTTGTCGGCAGTCTTACCCACCACTGTTTTTGCCCCATCACAGCAGATGTCAACAGAGTGAAAAAGGTAAATAATGTCATAGAATGATTATGAAAATGGCTGTGACCTCACAGAGCCCCCTTAAAGGATCTCAGGGTCCTCCAAAGACCCACAAAACACACTTTGAGAACCACTGGTCTCAGGATCAGAAGGTGGAGGGAAAGTCTCCCCTGCCCCGGCTATAATTATTCTCCTTCATCCCAGGGCTTATGGCTTTGGGAGGAAGGGCGCTAGTTGTTGTGGAGGGCAGCTGAGAGGCTCTCTGTTTGTTGTCACTATCCCATTGGCCCCAGAAACTGTTCTCCCCACGTGAGTGGCACATACCCAGCCAATGACCGACTGGATCACCCCAGGAATGTTGTACTCCTGCAGACGAAACAGGTCTGAGGGCTCACAGTCCACAGTGAAGCTGTTGGTGTCGTTGTTGTACTCCACAGGACAGACGAAGCATCTGTACCCGGACATCACGTAGGACAGCTGAGGGTGCAGAACAGACAGGCAAGGAGACAAGTTCCAGCCATCGGGCCTGGTACACAGACACCTAGTCTGGTCACACTCCCTCTAGTGCCTAGCACCCTGCTAATCGCACGCTCTGGGCTATATCAGAGGTTCACATTTCACCATGTGTATGTTACCCGAATTAAAAAAAAGAAAAGAGGTCCACAGCCTGCTCAGGGTTCACCAATATCAAACAGCCAGGCCCTGGAAGAATCCAGAAAAAAGACCTGAAGGGATTTGGGCAAAGAACTACAAGAAAGTTCTCTCAACTGGAGGACGATGGTCCATTGTGCTTGAGACCTCTCACTCAGCAACGCCTGCAGGGAGGCCATGGGGGCAGGGGGCAGGGGGCAGTGAGAGGCAGCCAGCCAGGAGGAAGAAGGCCACAGTGCAATTAAGTGAGGGGAGGTTGGGCCAGCCTGTGGTATGGTGGGTAAGGGGCTGGATCCTATATGGCCAACTGCACAGTTTGAGTCCTGGACCTGGGGGACTTCAGAAACACACCAGGTACTTGTGCTTGTGTGCCAAAAATCCCAAAAGGAGAAAAAAAGGAATTGCAGCATGATCATTTTCCATGGGAGGTGCTTTCTCACTTCCTCTTTTTCTCTCTCTCTCAGTCTCTCTCTAGGAAATTCACAAGTCCTCTAGCAAATGAAAAGTAAATCAATAAAAAGCTAGGGAAGATCAGCACTAAAGATACCAGACAATACCAAAAAAGGGAACACTGGCCCAGGTTCAGAAGCAAGAAATGGTGCTCTCCAAAGTGCTGGAAGATAAGATCGCCCACCTCTGGGCAGGCACACCGAGGAGAAACCCTGAGGGTGGTGCGCCCACCCACCCACCTCACCCCTCACTACTGGGTATCCCGCACCAAGTGCCTGACAAGGGCACTGCCTGCTGTCTAGCACCTGCCTGGCTGGAGAGGGCACACAGGCACATGGGGCCCCTGCTCTTCGAGTGCCAAGACTTCGCCTGAAAACTGGCAAGTAAAGGATAGCCAGCACTGCCCGTGCCAAGTTCTTGGCCCTAGGAGACATGCTCTCTAACCCTGGACTGGCTTCTGTAGGTGGTGTGAGGCCTCTGTCCACTTCTCCCCACCTCCTCTCCTCCCCCGCTCCCCGGAGCCAGCACCTACCAGAAGGCCAAACACCACAGTGGCAAAGAAGCCGCCAATGAACCCTTCCCAGGTCTTCTTCGGGGAGAGCTGTGGACAGAGAGTAAGTTCTTAGCAAGAATATTTCTATAACTCTCGCTTTGGAACCATAATGACTGAAGAACCTCTGCCATAAACCCCCAGTCTACTACCACATCACCTGCTAAATTCCCCCAGATGTGGTTTCACTGTTCCCTACCTTATACACTCTTATTCCTTTCTGTCAAATATTTTTATTTCAAAACTATATAATAACACACTCAAATCCAGATCAAAGCTCCCAAAATATGCCTATACAGTGTGAAAACTACTTTATCAGCTCTCTCTCTCTTTTATTTAAGTAAGGAGTTGTCAATGTTTCTCTTTGTTTTTTTCTCTTAAAATTAATTCATTATCGGACTTTACCCAGGAGGGCATGAAGACATGGCTGTAACAACACACACCAGCTAGATCTCCTCTCTGTCTCCCACACTGATCTACATGTGTTGAAAGTATCACCCTCAGGCCAGCCAGGTGGTGTGCTGGTTAAGGCAGCTGGATCTCAAATGACCAAGTCCGTGGTTCAAACCAGGGCCCAGAGCCTTAAAAGACACACTGGGTACATGTGCATGGGTGCCCAAAATCCAAAGAGGAGAATGGAGCAGGGGTGGGGGTGGGGTCCTCACTTTCCTCCATCTTTCTTTCTCTAGCAAGCGTACATGCCCTACGGCAAAAACTAAGAAAATGAAAAGAAAGTACCACCCTCCTCTCACGGTGACAATTCATGTTAGGGTAATCCACTTACCTTGATGAGTGGGGTTCGACCGAAGAAAAAGCCAAACATGTAGGCCATGATGTCATTACAGATCACACAAGAAATGGGGACAATAAACCTAGAAAATGAATCCAAGTAAGGATCAGCGCTACCAAGGTGACAGCACCTCAGAAGCTCCCAAAACGATGCCGTTTATACATGCCAGTACGAAAGTAACCCATGAAGTACTTGTAACCCATTAAGGAGTAAGTTTAAAAGAAATACCGAAAAAAGTCATACCTAGCACCTGGTACGTAGCAAGCCCTCACATTTTATTAAATGACTGCTGAATAGCAGCCATTATACCATCCTATAAAAAAATGTCACTTGTTTATCTTTCATTATGAAGTAATATTATGTGGTTTTGGCTTAGAAAAAATATGTCATGGCTTTTCCCGACAACCCAATATATTCATGTGATAATACAAATTTAAACTATAAAAGAAAAAACTGTTCCCTTCTTCCCCCACATTCCTGTATCTCTATTTCCAAATACAACCACTTTTAGTCATTTCTAAGATTTCTTCTTTTAGTGCTTACCTCCATAATTCTAAATAATTTATTTCATGTCTTTCAGGGGTCTTCAAAAAGTTCATGGGAAATGTGAATTGTGAAAAACCTCTGCGTTGATTTCAGAATGTTCTGTGCCAACATAAACTTGTACTTGTACACTGTTTTTCCACAAACTCTCTGAACTCCCTTATAGTTTTATAATTTACTTTTTTTTTTTTCACTGCCAGAGGGAGCCTATGCTCACTAGAGAGAGACACAGAGAGAAAGCACTCCCCCATAGGGTGAGGTCACTCTGCAAATCTTGGTCCTCCATTTCTCCCTCTCATCAGGATTTCAAGCGTGTATGCACATGCACCTGGCATGTTTTTCAAGTCATTAGCACTAGGATCCAAACCATGATCAGCCATGTAGAATCTGCTCCCTTAACCACTGAGCTACAGGGCTGGCCCATACTTTATTTTTCGTTTATCACATTCATGATAGTGAGCACATGTGTGTGCATGTGAAAGACACAGGCAGGCAGGCGAGCACCCTTAACAGAGTCTCATCATGCCACGATTCCCCTGCCCCAGCGCTCCAGCCGGACAAGATCTTAAGCACCTACCTGCACACATGCCCTGTGAGTTCCAGATCAACCAGGGATCTGAACCTGTGGCAGGCTGTGTGACAGCCAACACTACGGCTCGGCACCCAGCCACCTGCACCACCGAGGCTAAGTCCACTTACTCTTCACTATTCACTAGCTCTAGTGAGCGCGGCCTTCTCCTAAGGCCCTGTTGGGATGCAAACTCCCAAGATGCATAGCTGGAGGCCTTGCTCCTGTCTCCCACTGATCTGGTTACCCCACCATGAAAGAGCAGCTCCACCACTTTCCCCTCTCATCACTCTCTTCTCATTGACACTTTAAGTTCTACTACAGTTTAATATAACACATAAATCCCAACACTCCAGCCCATTGACTGCCGGCAGTCTCTTCTGACTTCCTATCTATCAGGGAGGAGTTTAGAGCATCCTTACTCCACCCACTATCCAACCCTACCACACAATTCACGTTCTCAAGGCTTCTTACACATAGTCTCTGCTCTATAATTAAGTCTTATAAGGTTGAGTCTGAAACTAATACTTCCAGATTTGGGTATTACTATAAAACCAAGTGGTATGTTTGACCCTAAAGATGAGACCTTAACATACATGCTGTTCTTAAATATCTAACAAAAACAATGAGTTGAAAGGAAGGAGCTCGTACCTCCCAAGGCCATTGCAATTGTTTTAAATGTAGTAATGCCCAAGGCTAACATTTATGTGAGCTAGCCTCCACCCTAAGAACTTGACGCATATTTAGTAATTTATTTTTCAGGAGATGAGTACTAGGGCATCTAACTCTGAGATCTGGAAACAAAGGAATGGTATGGGATCTTAACCACAAAACTAAGTATCTCCTTCTTTATTTTATTTATTGATTTTGGTCATTTGCCAGAGGGCATGTGCACTTGCCAGAGACAGAGAGGGAGGAAAAGTGAGAAAGCACCCCCATGGAGGATGGTCCCACTACAATTCCTTCTCCACTTCTCTTTCCTGTCAGGATTTTGGGCAGATATGCACTGGGTGCAGGACTCTTAACAGTACAGTAAGCCACGTGGGATCCAGCTGCCTTAATCACCTCGCCATTGGCTGGCCCACCTCATATATACCCCAGACTGCCTCTGTCTTTTCTCTACGATCATTTTGTTCCTTTAGTCAGTCTGCTGATTTCTATAATGCTAATAGGTTTCCTGTTGAGACTACTTTTATTTTAAAATAAAATCTATCCAGTAATAGCACAGTATGCCCTGACTTACTGTCAAGTTCTATTGTATATAGTTGGATATAGTTTATCTATAATCATAAAAGACATAGGTTTGTCTTTCTTGTTTTTTCCTTCTTCAGCTTTGGAGTAAAAGTCAGATAAAACCCAACTGCTAATCCATTTGGTCCTTTTCTTTTTCTGGAGGCAGAATCTTACACAATTTTTGGAGATCTTCTATTGTTACTGATCTACGCAAGTTTTCCTCTTCATGCTTTTTTTTTTTTTTTTTTTGAGAGTTTTTGCTATAGGGCGCGTGCACTTGCCAGAAAGACAGAGAGAGACAGAGAGACAGAAAGCGAGAAATCACCCCCGGGGGGATGGCCACGCTGCAATCCCTTCTCCTCCATTCTCCTCTCGGGATCTTGGGCACACACGCACACGTGCCCAGAGTGAATTTAAGCCACCAGGTTCAGGACTCGAACCATGGCTGGCTACATGGGAGTCCAGCAATGTAGCCAGTATGCTATCTACTGGTCCCTCTTCTTCATGACTTTTAATAACTTATATTTTGCCAGGAAATCTTGAACATCCTCTCTAGATTTCAAATGCACTGCCATATGGTTGTACTCTTTAAGTACCCTGTACCTGTTAGAAGAGGGGCAGTGGTTCTTTTCTTTCTTTCTTTCTTTCTTTCTTTCTTTTTTTTTAATTAGCTTTTTTGCCATAGGGCACATGCACTCACTGGAGAGACAGGGAAAGGGAAGTGAGAAATCATCCCCCAGAGGGTATGGTCACGCTGCAATCCCTTTTCCTCCTGGGACTTCAGGCACACAAGCACACACACAGCATGATTTTCAAGCCACCAGGTCTGGACTCAAACTGTGGTTGGCCATTCGGGAGTCCAGTGCCTTAACCACCACGCCACCTGCTGGTCCCTAGAATAGTGGTTCTCAGAGTGGGTGCTGAGCAGCAGCAGCAGCATCACCTGGAAATGTAATAGAAATTCAAATTCTCAGGCCCCATCCTGGGTCTACTGAGTCAGAAACTGAAGTGGAGCCCAGCGGGGGATTCTGGTGTGGCAGGGGGTGTAAGAATCCCTGGCCGGGAAGTAAACCAGGGTTCCTCAGTCTGCCTGTACCTGGGAAACACCCAAAAAATTAAAGGGCAACCTCCCCCCACCCACAACACACACACTGACTTCACTCACCAGATCATTCCTTCAAACAGGTTGTGGATAACTAGATGTGACTGGGTTACGACAATCAGTAATGTTACGTGGGTCCAGCCAAACTGCAAAAGAAGAAAAGTTAACTCTACCCGTCAAGTTTACCTTGAAAGTCTCTTCAGGGTTGGCAGGTGGTGTGGTGGTTAAGGGAGCTGGACTCCCACATGGCTGACTGCGGTGTGAGTTCCAAACCTGGCGGCTTGCTTTCTCACTTTCCCACTTTCTCTCTCTCACTCTCTCACTCTGTCCCTCTCCTGTTAAATTAAAATAAATAAAATTAAATAAAATAATCTTAAGAAAAAAAAAGAAATATCTCTTCAAAGAACAACAAATACCAAGTAGAAAACTGCAGAAAAACAGGTAGGAAACATCTGTTTTTGTACCTAACTCACTGGAAACAAAAATGTACGGATCGGGCCTCCGGGAGTAACACTTTGTTCCCTTCTCCCCGACCCCTAGGTACAGTCCCCATCAAAGTAGGGACCATAAGTCCTGAGAGTCAGTGAGTCCTTCCATGCTTGAAAGCCTGGGTAGCTTTTGTTTTCTTAGCATGAAACACTCAGAGCGATGTTCTCAAGGTGAGGCAGGCAAGGATCGGTGCAAGGTGATATACCGGTCTGTGAGCGGTGTCCGAAGCTTTCAGCCTGAACCTTACCTGGGGCCCACCTTCGGAGTCGTAGTGGAGAGACTGCATAAGCAACAGGGACTGGGCCTAACGCAGAGCTGCCAAAGCTAGTGGGCACTTCCTTCATGTCTAGGCTCCGTATGCCCACACAACAGGCTGTGCTCCAGAGCTCAGGTTTCTCACGGAACACATAAAAGGCTTACTGAGTTTCTGCAGGACTTCCTTTACACCAGGAATTCTCTTTCTCACATACGTACATGCACATGTGTGCACACACACACACGTCCCTTACCATGTAGAACTGCAGTCGATAATGCTTCTTGACCAGACTCAGCACAAACATGCAGAACCCTAGAGTGAGGAGAGGAGGAGAAAGGGCAAAATGAATGACATTCTGCATGTACCTTTGTCTTAGTCATCTCTAGCTGTGCTAAGGGGTCCTTTGGCTTATTACTTCACAGTGTTCTTCAGTGCGCAATCTCAAAGCTCAGGAGAGAAAAGCTAGTTATCCAGAGAGTGAGGAGGAATAAAATAACTCCTTCAAGACAATTAAAGGAAGCAATATTTACTGGGTTGTCGGAAAAGTCATGATGCATTTTTGCCTAGAAAAACAGAAAAAGACATTATAACTTTTCTGTATAGTCTTATAGCTCACATTCAATTTAGGATCCTGTTCACTAGGTAGGAATGTTTTGTGCCTAGACAATGGCCAACAGACTACTTTCCGTTTTTCTTTTTCAATGCCAAGGATGTGTGCATGTGCCAGAGAGTTGGGGGTAGAGGGTGGACATGCCACAGTCCTTTCTCCTTTATTCTCTTCAGGATTTTGGACACACACACACACACACACACACACACACACATGTTACGTGGGTCCAGCCAAACTGCAAAAGAAGAAAAGTTAACTCTACCCGTCAAGTTTACCTTGAAAGTCTCTTCAGGGTTGGCAGGTGGTGTGGTGGTTAAGGGAGCTGGACTCCCACATGGCTGACTGCGGTGTGAGTTCCAAACCTGGCGGCTTGCTTTCTCACTTTCCCACTTTCTCTCTCTCACTCTCTCACTCTGTCCCTCTCCTGTTAAATTAAAATAAATAAAATTAAATAAAATAATCTTAAGAAAAAAAAAGAAATATCTCTTCAAAGAACAACAAATACCAAGTAGAAAACTGCAGAAAAACAGGTAGGAAACATCTGTTTTTGTACCTAACTCACTGGAAACAAAAATGTACGGATCGGGCCTCCGGGAGTAACACTTTGTTCCCTTCTCCCCGACCCCTAGGTACAGTCCCCATCAAAGTAGGGACCATAAGTCCTGAGAGTCAGTGAGTCCTTCCATGCTTGAAAGCCTGGGTAGCTTTTGTTTTCTTAGCATGAAACACTCAGAGCGATGTTCTCAAGGTGAGGCAGGCAAGGATCGGTGCAAGGTGATATACCGGTCTGTGAGCGGTGTCCGAAGCTTTCAGCCTGAACCTTACCTGGGGCCCACCTTCGGAGTCGTAGTGGAGAGACTGCATAAGCAACAGGGACTGGGCCTAACGCAGAGCTGCCAAAGCTAGTGGGCACTTCCTTCATGTCTAGGCTCCGTATGCCCACACAACAGGCTGTGCTCCAGAGCTCAGGTTTCTCACGGAACACATAAAAGGCTTACTGAGTTTCTGCAGGACTTCCTTTACACCAGGAATTCTCTTTCTCACATACGTACATGCACATGTGTGCACACACACACACGTCCCTTACCATGTAGAACTGCAGTCGATAATGCTTCTTGACCAGACTCAGCACAAACATGCAGAACCCTAGAGTGAGGAGAGGAGGAGAAAGGGCAAAATGAATGACATTCTGCATGTACCTTTGTCTTAGTCATCTCTAGCTGTGCTAAGGGGTCCTTTGGCTTATTACTTCACAGTGTTCTTCAGTGCGCAATCTCAAAGCTCAGGAGAGAAAAGCTAGTTATCCAGAGAGTGAGGAGGAATAAAATAACTCCTTCAAGACAATTAAAGGAAGCAATATTTACTGGGTTGTCGGAAAAGTCATGATGCATTTTTGCCTAGAAAAACAGAAAAAGACATTATAACTTTTCTGTATAGTCTTATAGCTCACATTCAATTTAGGATCCTGTTCACTAGGTAGGAATGTTTTGTGCCTAGACAATGGCCAACAGACTACTTTCCGTTTTTCTTTTTCAATGCCAAGGATGTGTGCATGTGCCAGAGAGTTGGGGGTAGAGGGTGGACATGCCACAGTCCTTTCTCCTTTATTCTCTTCAGGATTTTGGACACACACACACACACACACACACACACACACGGCCAACATGTTTTTCAAGCCACCAGATCTGGAACTTGAACCACGCATTTGGCCAAGTGGGATCCAAACGCCTTAACCGCCATGCCACCAGCTGGTCCATGTTTTATATTTTAATACTGGGTGTCATTCGCAGAGCCAAGTACTGCTCTCAGGATGATCAAAATTAGGTCAGACTGAAATTCAAGTCATAATAAATTTCTCACATGCCTCTAACCAGCAGCAATAAAAAACCATTAGCATAACAAGAATTAGTGTACAGCCTTAACTAAGCTGGTGGGATAGCACTTCACTATTCGTCAAGCTTTAATGTATTTGATTTAATCCTCACAGTCACCCTGCAGCTTTAGACCACACGAGCTAACTGAGAATCAGAAAGATTAAATTCCCATTCCCACTAAAGCCACAGTGTCTTCATTTTTTTTTCTAATTTGCCCGAGGGTATGTATGCTTGCTGGAGAGACAGAGAGAAGGAAAGTGAAAAAGAACCCCCATGGGGGTTTCCATTTCTCCTTTTAGGATTTTGGGTACACATGTATGTGTGTGCATCTGCATGCGCCACACACACATGCCCAGTGAGTTTCTGAAGCAACTAGATCCAGGACTCAAACCACTCAGTCCACCAACTGGAATCCAACGGGATTAGCCACCATGCCACAGACTAGCCTGAGTCTTTTTAAACCCAAACCCAGTCAAACTTCCACTATACTATGATGTCTCTTAAGGTGGTCTCCTAAAATGTTCAATCCCTGAGCCAGCTGGTGGCACTGTGTTAAGGTGGCTGGACCTCACATGGCTGATCGCATGGTTTGAGGTCTGGATTGGAAGCTTGAAAAATATCCTAGACACATGTGCATGCCTGTCCCAAATCCCAAAAGGAGAAATGGAGGAGAAGGCATTGCAGTGTGACCATGCCCTGGAAGGCTAGGGGAGCATCTTTCTGTCAAATGCACAAGCCCTCTGGCAAATTAAAACAGAAAAGGATGGTCAATTCCTGGATGACTTTTGTTTGGGTCACACCTCAGAACCTTTGAGAGAGTCAGGATGGGACCATGATCCGCTATCCTTCAAAGGACATATGGCACACACTGAGGCCTCTGACAACCCCGTGACACTCTTGGCCTCCATTTCTCTTAGTAAAAAGCTACTGTAGATTGATGGAATGCCGTTTTGTCAACTCTGTTCCCATGCTGGTTGGAGTTAATGTTATAAAACTTGACTAACTAAGAGACTATGAACTAAGAGATTCTACTCGACAGACACAAAAACAGCACAGACACAAGAACCGGTCAGCGGTTAATGCGTACCTGTTAGGTAGAGAGTGAAGGAAATGAATCGGTGGTATTTACTGAGAATCCGCAGAGGCTCCTCTCTCTGGACCAGGGTGAAGAAGTAATCCGTCACTGTCTCTCCATAGAAGAAATAGTTTACGCAGAGGAGAAAATACCTGCAAATGCAGCCGGTCAGTCTGTGGCACACAGGCGGCCTCTCCCTGACACTGAGGCAGCAGGAAAGCCCCAAGAGAGACAGAGGACAGGAGTCCACCTGTCCTCGAGACCCTGGGAACAACTCACAGAGAGATGAGCTAACCACGGTTCCTTGCTCTCTGGTAACATTTGGTTAAGAAATTTATCTAGAAATGGTGGCAGCTTTCAGTCTGATTATCTAAAACATGGAACTCAGTTTTGTCCCTTTTGTGGTGTTTCCACACCTGATCTAAGGACATTGGTTATGCCTTAGATAATGGTTTGATCCCCCCAAGGGTTCATGTGTAGAATGTGGAACCTAATGTAATGGCACTGGGAGGTGGTGAGGTCCTTAAGAAGTGAGGACTAGGGCCAGTAGGCAGTGTAGTAGTTAAGGCACTGGACTCCCACATGGCTGACCATGGTTCGAGTCCAAGACCTGGTGACTTGCTTTCTCTCTTGCATATGCTGTGTATAACAAATTAAAATAATTTAAAAAATAAATCTTAAAAAAAAAAAAAAAGGAGAGAGAGAGAGAGAAGTGAGGCCTAATGGATGGTGCTTGGAGCACAGGGACACCATATTCATGAATAGATTAATAGTGTGTCAGGAAAAGGAGCGGACGGGACCAGCAGTTGGTGTAATGGCTATGTCCCTGGACTCCCATGTAGTCGACCACGGTTCAAATCCCGGACCCAGTGGCTTAAACTCACGCCAGGCGCATGTGCGTGCTTGCCCCAGATCTCAAGAGGAGAATGGAGGAGAAGGGATTGTGGTGTGGCCATTCCCTCTGGGGGGTGATTTCTCGCTTTCTGTCTCTCTGTCTCTCTGTCTTTCTGGCGAGCGCACGCGCCCTAAAGCAAAAACTTTAAAAAGGAAAAAAAAAAAGTGGACTACGAAAGGAAGATCCACTTTCAGTGTGGGCAAGCACCATCTAATCACCTGGGAGCACAGAAGGGACACGCAGGGGCAGTGGGGTTTCAGATAACGGCTGGATGAACTGTTCAGCCACCAGAGTCATAAGCCAGATAAAACCTCTACTTATTTTTATTATTCACCCAGTCTCGGGTATTTCTCTTTAGCAGCACAGGAACAGACTTATACAACACTCCTGCCTTAAGAAGATCCTCCAAAATGCGTCTCCCCCTGCCGGCCTTGTCTTATTTCCACTCTTCCCAACAGGAACGCTTCGCTCCTGTCAAAATGGTGTTCTCCAGCTTTGCCACTTGTCTGCTCTGCTCCTGCCTTCCCCCTGCCTACGACATCCTCTTAGCTTACCCAGTTTTTCATTTGTTGCTCAAATACCATTTTCTCCACAAAACCCTGCATGCCCTAACACATCTGCCTCCCCCGTGTCTAGTGGAATGCACTCATTTCACAGAGCAATTAGTCATGCTCCATCCCTAAGCAGCTCCTTCTCCGATGCCCGGCTCTGACACGTAAACCGTTCAGCAGCCTTGAGTCCTCACTCATTTACATCCTCTCTCCTCAATGGCCATTCTGTGAGGCGCGAAGTCATGGCTCTTGTCCCCCTGTAGCCTCTCTGCTGCTTCTAAGCATGTACTGTGCAGTCACCATGTCCCCTCCACAGGGCGGGGAAGAGGAAAAAGATTCTCTTTTCCATTTTTAAAAAACTGTTAAGCTAGGGCTGGCAGGTGGTGTGGTGGTTAAGGGTGTTGGACTCTCACATGGCTGACTGTGGTTTGAGTCCTGGACCTGGTGGCTTGCTTTCTCACTTTTACTCTCTTGCTCGCTCTCACGCTGTCCCTCTCTGGTCAAATTAAAATAAACAAATAAAAATAAATAAAGTTAAGTAAAATAATTCTTTAAAACAAACAAAACTATTAAGCTAAAAAACTCCCATATTGGGTTTATTTTCTGATACACGGAAAAAACTTCCTTTGAAAATGGCGACAGCCAGGAGTCAGATCCCCTCAGCATATGACCAAAATTCGAAACACTGCTTTCCATCTATTAAATAGCAGACCCACAGCCTAGTGATCCCACATGGCCAACCACGTGGCTCAAGTCTGGCGCTGGTGGCTTGAAAAATATGCCAGATGTGAGTGCACGCGTGACCTGAGAGAGTGGAAAAATGGAGGAGAAGGTATTGTAGCATGACCACCTATCTGGGGATGCTTTCTCCCTTTCCTTCGGTTTGTCTATCAGCAAGCATATGCGCCTCTGTCAAATAAATAAAGGAATCAATCAATCAATCGATGGATTGATTAATCAATCAGCCACTAAAAGGACCTACGGCTTAACCTATCTGGAGGCTGGGAGGCAGCCTGCGCTGTTGGTGTTAGGCAGTACCTTAGGAGGGGTGGGTCCAGCCTAAATCTGAGCTTGTCTGCTCCCTTGGCCATGACCAAGTTGTTGGGGCCCAAACCACTCTCTCTGGCCAGCGAAATCATGGAGTCCCTGTGCCCCAGCACAATGGGATGAGAAGAGTCAGTATCTGCCTCAAGTCTACTCAGCATGGTACCGTGCTCTGCTCAAATGTCACCAGCTTAGAACATGGTGGCCCATACAGCAGAAAGGGGTCTCCAACATCATCTGCACTACAGGCTTTCATTTCATTTTTACTTTAAGGCAGTGCAAGCCCTCTCCTAGAAGAGAGGAAAAATGCAATTTCCCTGGTGGAGCCCAGATCCTGTGCCTTCAACTCACCCTGCCCACTTGGGCACCCTGGGTGCCACTGAAAGACCAAGTTCTCCCATCACAGTTTGGAGACCACCAAGCATCAACCATCTGTCCTAGACATGTTGAAACCATGCTCCAGAGATAATACCAGCACCAGGCCCAACAACAGTGGCAGGATACTACAGCATGAAAAACCTACTGAGCTAGAAAAGGGAGCCATTGAGCAGAGTCTGAGGGATCTCCTTACTGAGCCAAATGCATTCACAGATGCAGATGACCTGGTTTCCTCTGAAGAAGATTCCAGACTCCTACTAATTACTAAAGATGCTTCAAAGATAGCTAGGTAGTCTGGCCTATAAAATACTCGGGTCTCAAAGGTTCTGTGGAATCTGTGGTGACTGCCATGCCTCCCACCCACCATCACTGAGAACGCTTGCCACAAAACAAATCATCCTTATCTGTTGAAGGTCCCTGAGGTGGTCAAGAGCTTACCAGCTGAGGGTCCTGAACCAGGGCAGGTCATAGGAGTGGTAGACGTTGTAGCCAATAGTGATTATCTCATGAAAACACTTAATCTGAACACACATCACCTGCGGAACACAAAAGTTGGAACATTGGCTGCCTTTCCCAGATCTTTGCAAACAGAAACCAAGAGGTCATGGGCCTTCAAGAGAAACCACTACTTTAAAGAAAAATTTCAGGCCTAAAATGACTCTGTTCTCCTCTTCTCTTTTCTCCCACACTGTCCCATTATGTCATAGGAAGTAGATCGAATTTCTCACAATAACAAACACACCCTGATGTTTCAATTAACTTTTTATTCTAGAACCTCCCAGGACTCAACTAATCCCTTCCTCCTTTGACTTTAAATATTAATAATTTAAAAACCCCAACTACTTTGCTCGGCGTCCAGCTATCAGAGCTCTCTTGACAATAGGAGGCATCTCAGCGGACTAAGACTTCCCAATGAAAGCTCTGTGCTCATTAGTGAGGTCCCAGGATGACAGAAAAAAAAAAAAAAAAAAAAAAAGTAACAAAAAAAAAAG